ATGGCAGAATAGTTTTCAAACAAATTAAATGACATTTCGTCTCTATTTCTGATTATATACTTAATGGCAATACCCTTTACGACGAATTAGTTTATAAGTGTAAAGAAAAAGGCACTTTGTGATCTATCCTTGCCCATATTTCTGTAACTGCCAAACTTATTTGCCAATTGACAACTAGTTGTATTCTGATTGTTGTTTGTTAAGCGACTTCAAAGTAGGAGGAGGTTCTCAATTCGACTTTTGTTTATGTGTTTGTTAAGCGATTACTCCTTTGTGAACTGATTTCGATAATTCTTTTTTTTATATAAAAAAGGGATACCTTAGTCCCATTCAAATTTGAAGAAAATTTTCCACCTTTAACGTTGGTATATTAGAGGATGAATCCAGTTTATTCTGTTTTACCACCTTTCCGTTAATCGATTTTAATAAGACTAGCCACATAGACGTAATTCCGTTTAAAGTAAAATGTCATGGTGACCTAGATGATCTGATGGTGGAAATGGAAGACAGATGTGAGGAAGTCCTCAACAGTGTACTGCTGCTGTGTTTGGGCTCATATTATTCGTTTTGACGAGGACTTCCATATTATATGTTTCAGTTACCGTTGAGGAGATCACGGTAACGAACAAACAAAAGCGAAGCTAACTTTGAAGTACATTTTTTAAAATAACAACGTTATAACTCACACTTACGTTACGTTACACTTACGTTATAACACACTTAGGCTAGAGAGGGTACAGAAACGCTTCATTAATAATTTGACTTTCAAGGCCGGTGCTTCTAAAAGATTACGCTCTTATAAAATGAGATTAAAAAAATTTAGAATGATTTCACTCGAAAAGCGCAGGGATCTATTGGACCTAGCCTTCCTTCACAAAATATTCAACCACAGGATTGACTGCCCACAACTCACAACAATGTTTAAATTTAGCGTTCCTCATCGATACCCTCGTAAAAAGATCACTGCTCTTTTGTCACCACCACACAGGAGAACTAAATTGGGTTTCAATTCACCGGTCTGTCGTCTGTCCAGACTGCACAACGAATATTGTGCAAAAGTCGATATTTTCTCGGACTCGATGGCCGTCCTTCGTAAGGCAATCCTAGGCACGTAAATGTACTGTATTTTTAAAACTAATTGTTAAAACAAATTTCACTACACATTAACTTCTTAATTTTCATTTTAACTTTATATGTAGTATATTCTTTTCACCTGGTATTGATATAATGTAATATTAAGACTATCCTGCTCAATTTAATGCAAGCTGTGTTTCATCTTTAATTAGTTGTGCATCTAGTTTAAATACTCTTACCAATGTAAAATGTAAATGTATCGATGTAACAATTGTTGATGAACCTAAATAAATAAATAAATAAATAAATAAACAATTACTTATTATTAATAACATTTTGATTCGTAGAAAATAAAAATACTTTTCCGGAAACTATTTGTTTTTATCAAACAAACCAACGTTTCGGATCATTAGCGGTTGTCAACCGTGACCTGACACCTGTAAAGGGCTGGAAACGTTGGTTTGCTTGAAGAAACAAATATACGCGATTTATATCCGAAAAATAGTTTTATTGCCTATATGTAACAATCGCGAAAACCTTTGAACTCGATTTTGATCGTGTTAAAGTTATGTACAAGTTCAATATCTCCAGAGCTAAATTATTTGTTTAAGTTTTGATAAAAGAGGGTTCTATACAATTCAAAGTCAAATAATCATTTAATCCATAGGTAAAGTTTTTACACTTGAAAACGTCATTTTTGAAGGTACTGCTCGTTCACTACGCTGATCTCCCCGAGAAGAACGAGCAAGAAACTCTAGGGATTGTTCTTTTCAAATAAACTTATATGCTATGGAATACCTTTGAATCAAATTTGTGTGGATTCTGGAGCCGTGTCGTCTTTAACACGTAGTCTACAATTTTGTAATATGACATTTCAATTAAAATACTTTGAATGTAAGTTTTAAACTTAGGAAATGGTAATCTTCATGTATGCTCCGGAATCTTATTGTAAAAACGTACACAGTTCCCTATAAAAGAATCGTTTACCTTAGTTAAATGAAAACGAAACGAAACTGAGGCCTTCATTAGACAAACAAAACCACAAGTGTATGCGTCTGACATATTTTGACTTATGACTCCATCGGTGCGTCGCTCTTTATTTGAACGTTGGCTAACAATACTACTATGGTATATAGAAATATATACAGATCATAGATTACAACTCTCGATTTGTTTACTCGATTCATAGGTATCGAGAGTGATCGCATTACAGGGATCGATGAGGAAATTAAATGCCAGTGAAATAGCACTAGGTAGGTATTCTATTCTAACCACTATAATGTGGTCACAAAACCGCTACACTCTTAGGCAATGCCATTGTAATATCGCTCCGTTGAATTTTAGAGCAAACACATTCGAGAATGTCGTTTCAATTAAATGTATTTAATTATTGTCGTTTTGCAATGTAATAAGTTTCATCAATGTTTCGACCTTATATATGTGTTTTAAAAAGTTCATTATGAAATTGATTAAAAAGGTAATAATCACACCCAAAAAAAGTCAATGTCAAACTTGAAATTTAATACAGAAAAAATATCGACCTCTTAGGTTTTTCACGTTTGTTACACATAGGAAATCAAACTTTTTTTTTTCGGATTTAAATCTCATATAAAATAACTGATACAATATAAATATTTGTATATCAAACAAACAAACTAAAAACTAAATAACTAGTTGATGATTTTACCATCTCAGTCATCCGTTACCATGAAACCCGTAAGGGCCCGAAACGTTGGTTTGTTTGAAAGAATTATACATACATATTATACATATATATATATATTATAATACACGCGATTTCAATCCGAAAATAACGCACACACTGAACATTCAACATAGCCCGCACTAGGGAAACTCTGTGTCGCGGGTGCCATGGACATACACATGGACAACCACAAATTACACCCAAATTCACGAGAAAAATAAATGTAGGTCATACAAATATTTCTCCCGGCCCGGGACTCGAACCTGGGATGATAACCGTTCGACCAAGAAGACAGTTTATATAAATATAGTTTCATTTCCTATAGAAAAAAATATTTTGAAAATTTCCACCGAAAGTCATGTTTTCTTAATTATAGAACAATTAATAATCCGAAAATCACCATTTTGTTTTGCATTTAAACAGAATGACGTCATGTTATGATGAACTTTTGAGGTGTATTGCGAAATGTATACTTTTAAATATAGACCACTGTTGACTGCTTCACCTAGTATAACATTTTCTATTTGCCATCATGTGCATCCTTCCCATACGGACTTATGGCGCGAAGCGCATCACTTACGAAGATCAAAAATTCCAAACTAGGGGTCTGCCAACGAGCAATGGGGCTTACTTGGTGTGAAACTGACTGCGCTCCCAAACTCAGATTGCTAATGTAGCCTGAAAAGCTGCGAAGCTGAAATGGAGTAGGGCTGGTGAGGTATACCCTCATGCCTGAAGACCTGTGGGCCAAAGTAACCAGGCAGTGAGCCCCAAAAGCGTAAGGCGCCGCGGCAGACCGACGAAACGATGGCACGGCGAACTGGACGCCTACGATAAAGCTAGGGTCCAGTTAGCTCAGGATCGAAGTACGTGGAGGGATCAGGGGGAGGCCTTTTCCCAGCCGTAGGATGCATCAGTCTAATTATAATTGTAAATTTGTTTGCCATTTAAACATTTGAAACTATAGTGTAACAAAAAGTTTGCACTAAAGGGATTCTGCGCACTTGAATGACAAAAATCTGTAGTAGTGACCCTTTTAGATCTTGCAGTTTGTTTCAATCGATTGAAATAATATTTTAAATAATAAATATGTACAAATGTTTATTTACAAGGAGCAAACTCAGTTTCTTATTTATTCTAATCAGGGGAATCTGCTATTTATAAATGAATAGTTAGTTTTAGAGAATAAAACAATACTGTTTTAATAAGATTTAAGAAATCATTGGACAAGTAATACATATTAATATAATATATTCAAATGAGAATGCTTGCTTTGGGGGCTCTGTTGTCAAACACTGACAAAGGTTTGGATTATCCTTCCCTGTCAGTTGCCAACATTTACTATACCCAAGAACAATATTCCAAGAGTGAATCTCTCACTGTAGTATGTCATTGACTAAACTGATTTAAAATGTGAATGTTACCAATAATGTGGGCCAGAAATATATTAAATATATTTGGATTCCAAATCGGAACTTTTCTCTGAAAGCAACTTAAATGTAGAGCCGAACACATAATCTATAAATTACAATAAAATATCAGAGATATCAGAACAAACAAATTTAAAAACACTTAATATGGTACAAAAAACTAATTCCGGTCAATGAACAGATATTTTATTTTTATTAAGGTACAATTACAATTTTTAGTTATTTTATTTTAGCGTACAATTTTTAAAACAGTTTAGGCAAATACAATATTTTAACATGATTTTAAGTCATTTTATGAATAATCTTACAGTGATGACTATACTCCTCCATCCTCAAAACGAAGTCAATATTTCCTTATAGTCCTTAAAAGATCGTTTCATTGTTTGCATATAGAATAATATTATGAGCTTTCTTCGATTAACTGTCAACTATAATAAAACACGTTTCCCAGGGCACTTATTCATTGCGTCTCAGTAATTTGATACCATGACATCAATCGTGAACATATCCAGTCAGGTGGAATCTAATTCAATTAATGTTTGCATGTTTAACATAAAAACTGGAGCGATTACAATAAATGGCGTGTAAATACATGTCGATGATAATTGGAGGCTGGATTGCTGTAGGGTGGCGCGAGGAAGGAGCAGAAGGTATGCGGCCTCGCGCTCGCGGTGTCAAAGTTACGGAACTGAAGTGACCGTACCCCCCACCAGTCGCAGGACCCGGCTCCGGTATGCTTTTCATATAAAAGTCACAGCCCGGACCGATAATGGTATCAGTCACCTGCTCTGATTAGCTAGTGCAAAATGTTCTCCAAAGTAAGCTTTAGAGCTTTTATAATAGAGGCCATATTATAAATTAAATCAGTATTTAAATAACACTTTATCCTTAAAAGAATATTTATTGATTCCACTGACTATTAAACTCCCACTGTATCCTACTCGCAACTTACCGTGGCAATACTGATCTATTTATTCAATCGTACTTGGTACACTGGAGATTCGAAGTGACCTTTGACTGATTCTTCACAGATTTTAGCTCTCAGCGCAGTGTTGGCCGCAGCCAACGCTGGCCTGCTGCCGCTACACCACTCTGCAGTGTCCTCCCAAAGCATTGTGCGCCACGATGCCCCCGTCCACTATGCGCACGCCGCCCCCATCCTCCACGCCGCCCCCCTCGTCCACGCTGCTCCCCTTGCCCATGCTGCCCCCATTGTTCACGCCGCTCCACTGGCTCTTGGACACGGATACGAACACGTGAGTAGAATATAATATGTCCTAGAATTTACACTGTATTTTTAACAAATCACCTCGAAATACAATATCTTGAAAGTTGATCAGCTCATTGTCTAATGTTACTCTCGATTTTATGTACTTCAATATGATTATGCAATTCCAGTCCCACCCCAAATACGACTACGCGTACTCCGTGGCAGACCCTCATACCGGCGACCACAAGTCGCAGCATGAGTCCCGCAACGGCGGCGCCGTCCATGGAAGCTACTCCCTGGTTGAGCCTGACGGTTCCGTGCGCAAGGTCGAGTACACCGCTGACGACCACAATGGGTAAATCAATTCCTTTGTTTAAAAGCATTAAACTAAAATTTTAGGTAAAGTTCATCAGTTAAATGTATTACAACAATTTTAAAACTGGTTTCACATTACTTCGACTGGCAGTAATAAAATAAAATTACTTATTGCAACATGACAAATGTCAACACTTCCTACTTGTAATATAATTTGCAAATAATTCCCCGAATGGTTGATAAAAACTTTACTATTCCTATTATAAGAAAAATAATAGTAATGCACTAAATTACACACAAATTGAAACAAGTAAATACCTGTACCATGAGCACTCAGAACACTCAAATCAGAAAATATCACTTCCCAAAATGATATCCAGGAGGCATTTAATATCCACCGTGCCAACCGTTAGACCACCGAGATCGTGAATTGCTTATTATGAAATATTATTCCAGTTTCAACGCGGTAGTCCACAAGACCCCCGGCCATCACCCCGCTCCCGTAGTCCACGCTGCCCCTGTAGTAGCTCACGTCGCTCCTGTGGCGCACTACGCCGTCGCCCCCCTCGCCCATCATGGACATCATGGCTTCCACTACTAGACCACTAGCGTATTATTGAATGATCGTGATGTATGACTGATGCATGTGATATTTATGTGTATATAATGATGATTAAATGATTTTATAATCAACTGTAAATATAATCAGCTGCTGAACAGTTATATTTTCTTTCAATTTCACTTATACAACATTCTGACACATAACAACACCTAACCTAACCTAACAAGCAACCTGACCTGACTAGAAAAGACATTTTATCTGCGTGCTTTCTAAGCTTACTTTATAATCATGTCTTTTCGTGTATAATTATTCTAAGCGTGACAATTACCACCATAATCAGATTGAATGAAAAATAACAAACAATACACTATTATGAAGTTTCGACTTACTGTTACAAAGTGGTGCTATTTGTATTTGCCATTACGATGATTATTCGAAAACTATTTGCAACAAACCTGTAACCTTAAAGCACCTGTTATTTAGACATTTTATTGTAATAGCACTGTTCATTTGTATTTAACAGCTGCCAGCTGAATATCACTAATTAAACCTCTCAACTTAACGTGCCGACACTGCGGCGTACAAAAGGTACTTTAACAATAATCCATTATAACATGTAATTAATTAAAATTTTACCACACTGTATCCTTGAAACGTAAGGTTAGACAGTGGCTTGAAATAATTAGTCTGGTTATTTGCTTGGCAATTTTATAATGTTCTCTGACATTTTTGAATAATATCGTTTTAAAACAAATAGTAAAGCACACGCCATATAATATGCGAATCAAATATATGGGAACTTTAATCAATTTGTCATTTGTTTCAATCTTATAAAAATCACAGTGTTGCATAGTTCGTTAAAGTGACATGGTAAATGTGTAGATACAAATTTTTACTATAAATTAAACTTTTCCTAGAGTCATGTGGTTCACTTCAAACTTGTTTTTAAAATATACAAAATATTCCCTTCTTTAAAAAATAAAAATATGCTCGTAGTTGAAAAGGGGCTTATGGAAATTTACGAACTTTTGCGTTCGTATAATTTTGAATTATAATTGAACGGAAAATGTCATTGTTAAATTAGTACAAAACAGAAACTAATTTTTTTCACTAAATTTTCAAGTTCTGACTGGAGGTTCTCAAGAACCTTTAAATACAGTTCCCAGCCCTTTAAATACAGTAGCCAGCGGAGAGAGAACCCGTTCAAACCAATATTATTATTAGTATTAGAACAATTACAGTTCAATATCACTGGAATTCGAGACTTGTGAGTTCACATTATAATTGTTAAGTGTTTGCCGGAAGGTATGTAAAGACACGCGTAGTTGCGTGCGTGTGCGCCGCGCCGCGGTCTGTGTTTTGGTACAATAATTATGCACCGTGGCATGGAGAGTTGCAACACTTGTTTGTTATAATGGCTCTGTGTACTGAGTCTGAAAAACACACAATTAAAGTTTGTACCAAACCATTAGTAATAATCTATATTTAAAGTACATAATGTACTTTTAATTGTACCCGCAGTTAATATTTTAATCTTCTTTTAGGCGTGTTGACTTTGACGTATATATTTGTGAGGACCAGAATTTAGCGACTGACACGGCATTATCAGCAGGTGTAAGGACACGCTGGGCACGACAAAAGAGGTGTCTGACACACTTAGACAGAACAGACGCAGGGGTTCTTTTTTTTATAATACAGAGTGACGGAACGAACAAGTCGTGTGTTGTAAAAAGTCGTGATAAGCGACTTGCCTGTCCATAACAGTTGCAGTGCCACTCAGAGCTTTAAAGATCTTAGGGGCACTGCCACTGCGCTCCTCACCTTGAAACATAAGCTGACAAGTCCCATGTGCCAGTAATTTCACCAGTAACCTTACCCTTCTAAACCGGAACACAGGAATGCTCACATTACTGTTTGGCGGCAGAAATAGGAAAGGTGGCCGTACTTTCTTCGAACTCTTTGACAAGGAGCTCTACTGCTACTAAAATTCTCCTTACTTCGGTCGACTTGGGTCCGCAATTAAGATCAACAATTTCCAAGTTTACCAATGTAGATCATCCGAAGGCTTACCTTAACATCTTAATCATAATGAATTAAATACAATATTATCTTTATATTGACGACCTCGACTGCCAAACGGTTTGCGCTGTAGGTGATGGAGACCCAGGTTTGATTACCGGTAGGACCAATTTGGGAAATAAACTTTTTAAATGTGTTCTAGTCTAGGTTATCTGGACGCAGCCCTAGAGTGAATTACATTGCACTGGTGTAGGGAATTTCCTAGTTTGAGACTAGGTGATTTTTGTGTATGTCCGGCATTATTACTCATTATCTTAAGCTTACACCTATCCACTGCCGGACATAAGCCTCCCCCTGAGCACACCAACTCTCTCGGTCCTGTGCAGCCCGCCTCAAGTGGTTCGTCCTATACTACTTTTGGCATTATTACTACAATATTATTTATTTATCTCATCGGTGAAAATACTATTCATAATAAAAAACAGTAAGTTTTTAGGTGGCTGTCGTAATAATTTACGTCTCTTAAGAACGCCTTTAACATCTCAACTGTGTACTTTAAACTCGGTACGAGATTCTGCAAGTTCTGTTCTTCTCTTCTTAGTCGTTATCTTCATTGCTGAAGGTCGTGTCCCCGAAAGGTTTCAGAGACTTTATGGACGATTTTCTTCCATCTGGTTCTGTCTTTGGCCCCTCTCAGGGTAGTTGTTATGCAGAGAGGCCAATGACGGCGGTTACTTGGTCACATCATCGGCTAGGTGATCGACCGCGGAGTCTCTTTCCCTCCACCTTACCTACCATTTCTAGTTTATCAAGGTTGTCTGGTTGTCGGCGAGCACCACGACCAACATACTTTAGGATTCTCTGGTAGCATATTGTGGAAAGTCTATCTGCGGTATCTGCGATATTAAGCTGCTTAATATGGATTGGGAAGTCTATGTAAACACTATTCCTCAATCTGCAACAGAGGCAGGTATTGTCACCTTGGTCCGCTGCTGCTAAAGGAATTTTACCTTCCTAGGTATGTAGAATACTGCGAATACATCTCTGAAGAAATCACTATATGTCAATTCATCATCCCTAAAAGGTAATTCGCACAATAACGTCAATTTAAAAGTAATCACAATTGTGGTGTTGCTAGCTGTAAACAAATCGTACAGTAATGATACAAATTGCCACAATTTCCTGCGTCAGCTCGATAAAGGTTACCCATGTTTCGAAATAGCGACGACGCTAGGAACAATGATAGCCCTTGCATCTGAACTCTATTTTGTACACATTGGCCTAAATTTGAAGAGAATAAGCACTTAGTTTATATCTTAATGTTAATTTTGGTATAAAATATGCTTCCATCCAATAAAGTCTACCCACATAATAATGTAGGCCATTGTATTACAAAAAAACTTAATTACTTTATATAGTCACCACCAAATAAAACTCCACGTTTGACACTTGTCACCGTGACGCGAATAGGGATGTGGACTAATCATATCGGTAATCACATTATACTATTTTCACAAGAAATCGATTCAAAATTTTAAAAATTTGTAATTGTTTAGATTATTTTTCGGTTCATTGTTGTTCAGGAGGCCTAAAAGACCAAATCGTGCAATTCTGTTAAAAGCAATTCATTTACAGAATACCTTGCAATTCTGTAGCAATTCCTCTCATTTTCGTAAAATTGTCCCACATTCCGATGAATTGTCTCCAATCCTTTTAATTTTGATTTAATAATAGTCATAAATGGTTTATTACGTATTTAGTGTAAATAAGTATGTTCATCGATAAAACAACTACATAAAAAGATTAAATTACCAAGAAACCAAGGATTTCATGAATTTTCAATTATTCGGCTGGCAATTAGTTAAAGTTGTCGATGTCAACAACAAAAAATCTCAAATAATGTTCATAATTTAGAAAACAGGAACAGTCCAAAAGCAAAGTCGAGTCACAAGAAAAATACATAAAAAATAACCAAGCGCACAGTCAACTTCCAAGATGGCGAAAGGCTGCGCGGTGCGCGGGCGCGGACTCCGGGTGCCGCTGTATTGGTATCAGTGTTGACAATTCAAAATTTGCAAAGAAGAAAAGGAAATACAAATCTGACTAGGAGTAATTAAGGCTCTTATAAATTTGATAAATTTATTTGCAATAGGTTTGGTCTGAGATGTTATATACATAATTATTTAAAATACACCTATTTTTATACATTTTTGTTTTAATATTTAATAAGCAATACTTTTTCCGAGAAATCGAAGTGATTCGGTGAAATTCGGCGATTAATTGCTTACAACACTATTATTTACTGCCTCCAGCTCCGTGCCGAACGGTTACCATGCCGGATTTCCACGCAGAGAGAGGTCCCAGGTTCGATTCCCGAGCCGGTAGAAATATTTGTATGGCCTACATTTATTTCTCTCTCACGAGAACTCACGTTTGGGTGTAATTTGTGGTTGTCTATGTGTGTGTCCATGACACGCGCGACACAGGGATTCCCTAGTGCGGGGCTGTGTTGAGTGTGTGCGTTAAAAAAAATTAACAAAATAGCTTTAGGACGTAACTGTTTTCAGGACGTTTCGAAGTAACTCAGAATTGCATTTCATATTGTAATTCATGCGAAAACAGTACTTCAAATATGTCTTGTCATATTATATAATGTTGTATTAAAAATTATGTATTTTTTAAACTCAATTATGCTAATAATTGTTTGTTTATTGTTTCGTTGATCGCATTCAAAGTTACATACTATCGCCTTCTTTAGCTGTCAAATGTGGCCTCTTATTTGGTAACGACTGTAGTGAATTTCGAGTTATAAGGTTTTCGCGATTGTTACTCGTAGGAAATAAAACTATTTTATAGGATCTAAATCGCGTAAAAGTTCTATGGTCAGGGCCACCTGTAAAGTGCTCGAAACATTGTTGGTTTGTTTGAAAAACAAATATACGCGGATCCAAAAAAACTAGTTTCATTTCACGACTGAATGAATTTTTAAATATTTTTTTAAATATTTTTACTATTTAAAGCTTGGGTGACGTACATACAATACCTCATCATGATATTCTACTTTTTAACCGACTTCAGGTTCTCAATCCTACAAAATTTTTTGTACGCGATTACTCTAACCAATTTCGATATATAATATAATGAAAAGAGGATTCTCTTT